GTTTGGTATTCATGAAGTTCCTGAGGTGCTCTTTATCATGAAAGTGAGATTTCTAATTTTTTTAGTTCTGTATATATTCTAGATGTTAGTCCTCTGTCCAAGGAATCACTGGCAAAAAAAATTTTTCCCATTCTGTAGGTTGTCTTTTCACTGTTGTTTATTTGTCTTTCGCTGTGCAGAAGCTTTTTAATTTGACATGATTCTATTTCTTGGTTCTTGGTATTTCTTATGCTTTGGGGGTTCTGTTCATAAAGTCCCTGCTTATACCTATGTCTTCAAGAATTGTATCTATTTTATCTTCCAACCGATTAAGTGTTTCTGTTTAACATTTATTTCTTTGATTTTAGTTTAGTATATGATGAGAGGTAAGGTCTAGATTCAATCTTCTGCATGTGGAGAGCCAGTTTTCCAAACACTATTTAGTAAAGAGGTTATCTCTCCCCCAGTGTGTGTTTTTGGACCCTTTATCAAAGGTCAAATAGTTAAATGTACTTGGAGTTGTTTCTTCATCTTCATTTTGTTTCACTGATCCTCATCTTTGTTTTTGTGCCAGAACCATGCTGTTTTTATCACAGTAGCATTGTAACATAACTTTAGGTCTGAAATTGTGATGCCTCTCATTTTTCTCTTTTTACCCAAGATTATGTTTGCCATTTGGTGTCTCTTCTGGTTCCATGTGAATTTTAGAATAATTTTCTCCATTTCTGTGAAGAATGCTATTGAAATTTTGATTGTGAGTGTGATAAATCTATAAATCATTGTGATAAATCTGTTTTGGAAGTATCACCATTTTGACTATATTGGTTTTGTCTATCCAGGAACAGGGGATATCTTTCCCTTTTCTGATGTCCTCTTAGAGAAATGCAAATTAAAACAACACTGGGATTCCATCTTACTCCAGAAAGAATGGCCATAATCAAGAAATCAAACAACAGGGGCCAGGGATTTAGCTCAGTGGTGCCACACCTGCTTTGCAAGTTCAAGGTCCTGAGTTTGATCCCCAGTATTGGAAAAAGCGAAAGAAAGAAGGAAAGAAAGAAAGAAAGAAAGAAGGAAAGAAAGAGAGAGAGGGAGGGAGGGAGGGAGGAAGGAAGAAAGGAAGGAAGGAAGGAAGGGAGGGAGGAAGGAAAGGAGGGAGGAAAGAAAGGGAGAAAGGAATCAAACAAATCAAACAAATGTTGCAGAGAAAAAGAAACCATTTTACACTGTTGATGGGAATGTAAACTAGTACAATCGTGGAGATTCCTCAAAAAACTGAAACTAGAAATCCTATTGGACCTAGCTATCCTCTTTCTAGGTACCTTCCCAAAAGAGTTAAAGGCATCATATAACGGTGATACATGCATCCCCATGTTACAGCAGCACAATTCACAACAGCTAAATCTTGGAAGCAGCATGTGTGTGTGTGTGTGTGTGTGTGTGTGTGTGTGTGTGTACGTCTCAACAGATGAATAAAGAAAATGTGATTTTACAGACAGTGGAATACTATTCTGCCAAAAAAAAGATAAACTTGGGTCATTGGATGAAAATGGATGCACCTTGAAACCATAATGTTAAGTGAAATAAATCGAACACATGAGCTTAAATATTGCATGGTTTCTCTTATATGAGAAACCCAAAGTAAAAAATAAAGAACAAAATAAAAGTCAGATAATAGGAAGTAGGGAGATAGATCTTTCTCAAAGGGGAAGAGGACCAAGAGATGGAGGGAGGGGAGACATAGGGGATGAAAAAAAGAATTAAGATGTGTTATGTACATGTACCAACTCCCCACAAGGAATGTAAACATTATGTATTATACATATTTATTAATAATGTATTTTTAGACACCTTTGGGATTTTGAGAGGGATTACGATGAATCTATAAATTACTTTGGGTAGTTTGTACATTTTAACAATAAAGTTTTCAAACACATGAGGGGAAAAAAAGGAGGAAAAATCCATAGAAGACAGAGGCAGGAACTGGAGTTAATGCAGGCATAAACCAAGGAATACCTACAGGCACAGAAGCTAGAAGCTGAAAGGATCAGCGAATACTCTCCCAATTCTAGGAGCCTTTGGAGAGAGTATGGGGCCACTTATGCTTTGATTTTGGACTTGTCATTTTAAGCCTCCCAGCAGTCTTAGGAAACCAACACAGATTTCATGATCATCACTTGATTCTCCACCCACCTCACTGAGCGCTCCTTCTCAGTCTCCTCAACAGACTTCTCTTCTTGCAACCCACTTACAAGCCCCCTAAAGCTACCTGTCAACATTAGAGTTGGCCCCCAATTTTTGCCTTCAGTCTTCTGATCTTCTCTCTCCTAGTAATCTCAAACACCTTCAAGACTCTGAATACAATCTGCTTATGGTGCCCTCCTACTGGGGATCTCCTAAAACTATATCCTAACTCAGATCTTTACCAAGTGCCCGATCAAAGTTCCAACTAGGAGGCAAGATAGTCTTTTTAATAAATGGTGCTGGGAAAACTGGATATCCACATGCAGAAGATTAAGTCTAGACCTATATAACTCATCATGTACTAACTAAAATCAAAATGGATCAAAGAATTAAATGTAAAAACAGAAACAATCTATTGGAAGGTAAAATAGGTACAACTCTTGAATGCATAACCATAGGCAAGGACTTTCTGGACTGAACACAAAAGGCACAGGAAACAATTATCTAGAATCAATAAATAGGATCATATCAAATTGAAGCTTCTTCACAGCAAAGAAAAAACAAAGAGAGTGAAGAGACACATACAGAATGAGGAAAAAAAATTGCCAGCTATTCCTTAGACAGAAGACTAACATCCAGAATATATAAGGAACTCAAAAACTTTCAACCCCTCTCTAGAATAAAAGACCCAATCAAAAGATGGGTCAGTAAAATGAATAGACACTTCTAGGAAGTAAAAATGGCCAGCAAATACATGAAAAAATGTTCAACATCATTGGCCATTAGAGAAATGCAAATTAAAACTACACTGAGATAACATCTTACCCCAGAAAGAATGGCTATCATCTAAAATTCTAATAATAACAAATGCTGGAGAGGATATGGGGAAAAGGGTTGGTGGGAAGATAAACATAGTACAATCACTATGGAAATCAGTGTGGAAATACCTCAAAAATCTAAAAATAGAAATTCCACTTGATCCAGCTATTTCCCTTCTCGCTATCTTCCCAAGAGTTAAAATCATCATATTACAGTGATACATAAATACCCATGTTTATAGCAGCACAATTTATAAATAGTTAGATCTTGGAAATAGTGTATATGTCTATCAACAGATGAATGGATAAGGAAAATGTGGTATTTATATACAATGGAGTACTCTGTCATAAAGAAAGATAAACTTGAGGCATTTGTAGGTAAATGAATGCATCTTGAGACCATGTTAAGTGAAATAAGTCAAACACACAAGCTTAAATATTGTATGGTTTGTCTTATATGAAAATATACATATATACAAATAAAGAGTAAAATAGAAGATAGGTAAGAAGTAGGGAAAAGTTCAAATAATTCTCCAAATTACCTATTCCATTGTTTCAAAAATATTTTAACATATATGCTGATTTGTTTCATTTATACTACTAGTTTCTCTTAATTGAGGGGCTGGGGATTTAGCTTAGTGGTTCCACCGCCTGCCTTGAAAGTGCAAGGTCCCTAGGTCCCTAGTTTCTCTTAATTGAAAAGAAAGCTTTGTGCTATTATCTGTTTTGTCATTGTAAGAGTATTTTTTTTATTGCTATCTTGTACTCTGAGTAACTACTTTTAAGATTATGATACACAGTATATTAACTATTGTTATTCTCTTATTATTTTATGAAACTTTGTTTTTTCATAAAATTAAAAATAGAAATAAATTTTTTAAAAACAAAGTTCCATTTACCTATTGGATATCGTCATCTAGATGTTTCACATACCTCTAAACTCACTAAGTTAAAAACCATTATCTTTCCCACCACAACTTGTTTCCAGCTATTTAGCCACCTAAACCAGAATCCTTAACTCTTTTTCCTTCTGTCTTACTTTCTCATTGCTCAGACAAAATACCTGATTCTCACAAGTTGAAGGAGGAAAGATTCATTTTAGCTCACAGTTTCTAGACGTTTCAGTCCATAGTTGGCTGGCTCCAAGGCAGGATGGCATGGTGGAAGGATATGGCAGAAGAGTAACAGTCCATGGTATGGCAGGCAAAAAGTAGCAAGCAGTAAACCTCCTCTCCCCTTTATATTCCACCCAGGCTACAACCCTATTGGTTGGTGCCATTCACACTGAGGTGGGACTTCTGTCTTCATTAAAACCATTCAGCCACACCCAGAACTATGCTAATCCAACAACATGTCAGTGGTACTTCTAGAGTATCTCCAATGAAAGAAGCAGCACACAGGATCCTATTAGTGCTCACCTCTTCCCTGGGTATCCACATTACCCCAGAGGAGCAGAATTACTTAGATACTTGAAGTGGGGAGAGGTTTGGAGCAATCTTTAAACCTGTCAAGATGAACAAAGCCTATCTGAGGGAAAAATCCCCACAGGCACTAGGTATTTCTCCAACTCTGTTCCCAAAGCATAGTAATTTAACATCTAATTACATCAGGAAACCCCATCAGACTTGAGTCTCTTTTTCACATGTCACTGAAGAAGTGGGAGCACTGTGGCTCACTCAATTCCTACATTTCTTCCTTTGATGCCATATTTTAGAATGTTTAGTTCACTTTTATTTAACTCCTTCTTCTCTGCACAACTCCTACTTGCCCCTTACTTTAATTTCTGCCAACCATATCTCTGTTGTTACAATTATTTTAATTGTTGTTTCCATGGGTATTTTATCCACTAAAACGTGACCTCTTTGAAGGCAGGAACTGTCTTATCTTTATAACCCTACTCCTCACACATTATGAAGCTTATAGTAGATACAAAATGTTTGCTAAATGAATCTGCAAATGGAGGACTAAACACAGTTATTTGAATCCCATAATAATAGGTAGATTAGCTTATCAGTTTGAACCCATCCCACAGCCAAAAACATTGAGGTCAGAAGAAAGGTTATGACTTTCCTAAGAACACACAGCCACTTACTCATTCCCTAAGACACAGCTACTTCATTCTTTCCACACCATGCTTCTTCTCTTCTTCCTTCTTCTTCTTTTTTTTTTTTTTTTGAGTTTTTGAGCAGGATTTCATTATGTAGTCCAAGTGGGCCTTGAATTCTCTATGAAGCCCAGGCTGATCTTAAATTCTTGATCCTCCTGTCTCAGCCTCCAGAGTGCTCAGACAACAGGTGTGCACCACCATGCCCAGACTGCACCATGCCCAGACTGCACCCAGACTTCTTAATTTACAGAAGAGTTCTTCTGTTTTCCCTCACCTAACCTTACCTGAAATTTCCTCGATGCTATTTGCATGCATATCCAGAAGGACACTTCCATTAATGAGGCAGCTTCTTAATTCAAAGAGACTGTGCAGTGAAAGGGTGGCCACGTATGGCTTGCTCCAGCGTTCTCCCCCATCTTCCACATCTTCCTCAAACTTCAGCCACCTGAAACCATTACAAATAGCCTGATGCTAAAAATGAAGAGTTTTCAAATAGTCATATTAAATACTGTAAAGTCCAATCTATATGTAAAGTCCAACACTGATTAAGTAGAAAAAGCAAGTTACAGAACAGTACAAGATTGAAAAAAAATTAAAAAATAAAAAAGATTGAGGGCTGGGGATTTAGCTCAGTTGTGCCGCCACCTGCCTGGCAAGTGCAAGGTCCTGAGTTCGAACCTCAGTACCCAAAAAAATAAATAAATAAAGATTGACAGTAGTTTAATTCCATTTTTAGTTAAAGAAAAATTTTAAAATACAAATATATACAAGTATAAGACACTAAATATATTCCTTATGCTCCCTGGGATATGGAATTACAGACAATTTTCATTTTCTTCCTGTTGCTTATCTTTATTTTCTAACTTTCTATGATGAGCATGCATTACCTACACAATTAAAAATAAATCTAGGGCCAGGGATTTAGCTCAGTGGTTCTGCCACCTGCCTTGCAAGCACAAGGTCCTGAGTTCAATCGCCAGTACCCCAAAATAAATAAATCTAATTTATGTCATTTGGATATACAGACAAATCACATTCATAAAAAGATAATATTCTTCTTTTTTTGAGTGTTCTGTGTGACTTTCAATGTTCAATATTCTGTGTGACCTTTAGAAGTCACAAAGACTGCATGACAAAAGACAAACTGCCTTTTCACTTGGTATCAGGTCGATTAGTTTGTTCAATACTGTCTACCCATAGAAAATGTCCACAATACAGCTAATACCCAGGAAGATCTGTTTCAGTGAACGCAGAGGCCATGTTTTGCTAGCTGTTCCTGTCACCCTGTTCCTCAGGGTCCAGGCAAGCTGGTTTTGTAATAACCATAAGGATCACTGGTCAGTTCACACAGCAGTCTAGTCATGGCCCTGGTTAACCTGAGGTCTCTTCTGAGACCTGCATTTCAGACAAGCATGGTCATTCTACAACTATGCCAGGAAGTCTAATGTTAGGCTGGCTACAATATCAAAGGTCTCTATGAGGTTGAATTGTACCACAAGAAGTCAAATTCTCAAAATTCTGGGACTATCATGAATTAAAACCCAAATGGTTCATTTGCAGAAAAAGTCTGAAAATATGCTATGACTGTTGGCCAGGTTACAATCAAAGTGGCCTTGTTTAGCATACTGTAAACTAGACCTATATTATCAAGAGAGCCCATATCAGGCATGGTAGTGCCACCTGTAATTCCATCACTGGGTAGGCAGAGGCAAGAGAATCACCACAAGGCCAGCCCAGTCTATAACAGTGACTTCAAGGCTACCCTAGATTACATAGCAAAACCCTCTCTCAAAAAAACAAAAACAAAAAAAACAGAGAGAGGACTCACGAACTTACTCTGAACCTCAAACAAATGGGAGAGCACAGATTGAAGGTTACACATTTATGTCACCAATCCCAAACTCATAGGGATGACCAAAGACATCATAAAGAGACCAACACCAAGACTCCCAACAGGAGACTCTGAAACATCAGTCCCCACGTCAGCTGTCACTTCACCCCAAAAGAAAGGAAAGGCAAGGAGATTTGTCACCGACTAAAAGGTACACAATTGCCTACTCAAGCAGATTTTTTTTTCTTTTGTCAATACAGGGGATAGAACTCAGGACTTCATACTTTTAAGGCAGGTGCAGGGCCAATGAGCTACATCCCTGGCCCCAAGCAGATCTTGATTCAGGTTATTTTAGGGCCTCACCTGGCTGTCTCCTTCCACTCAGCATCTTCTCCCTCTTTCATACAGATCTCATCGAGCTCTGTGAACAGCTCATGAGGCACGTGCTCTTCATCTTCCTCAGTGCCAAGAATGAACTGAACACGCTGAGATGGTGTGTCTAGGAAATCAACCAGGGAGAGATCTACAGCTAGCCTCAAATCAGATCAGAAATAGCATCTGCCTTACCTAACCACTTCAGGAACATATAGAAGATGATCCTGAACACAGCATTCCTTTAGTCTCAGAGAAAAAGCTATTCTGTGAAAGCAATTTTATGAAAAGACAGATTTATGATCTAAGACTACTTGTAGACATCCCCTAAGAATCTAGAAATCTGACAAGTTTGATCAAAATGAATGGCTAATTCTCTAGCAAAGGATTACACCTATTATGGTATTGATTGGGGGGTGGGTACTAAACTGTGAAGTTTTCATGAAGACACTTTCGATTTTTTTTTTTTTTTTGTACTGGGGATCAAACTCAGGACCTTGCGCTTGCGAGGCAGCTGGCGGCACCACTGAGCTAAATCCCCGGCCCTAAAGGCATTTCTTCTTGGAAGCAAACTGCAAAACCTACCAAAAGGCTAGAAGCAAGATGTCACAGTAGTGCTCCTCACGCACTCTCAGCTTTACCACGCCTCCTAGCCCTGGCCGCCCAAACCCCCACCCCTTTCCTCCTGAGGGTGTTACCATGGGCCAGGGCTTCCAGGCCCTCCTCCCCCTGGCTGGTTCCTTTGCCCCGCCCTCTTCTTCGGTGCTTCTGCCCATGGGTCCGGTGGTGTCGATGGCTCTGCCTGCCCAGTGGCATCCGAACCCCCACATACAGAGTTCTGTGACCTGGAAGGAAGCAGAAAGTCTGTGGCAAGAACTCCTTTGGTAAAAGAATTCTAGCATCGTTATCAGAAGGAAAAAAAATCACAGTTGGTTTTGGGGGGGGTTGGGGGGGGGGTCACAAGTCTAGAATGATAAAACTTCAAAGACTTCCAGGATTAAAGATTCAGCAGTCTTAGAGTTGAAGGTCTCTTCCTTTATCCTGCAATAGCTGCAAACCTCACAGGAATGTTATAAAGATCTGAAGAAATCGTGTGTTTTAGGGGCTGGCAATGTAGCTCAGTAGTAGAGTAAAGGCAAATGCAAGGCCCTGAGTTCAATCCCTGGTGCCAAAAAAGAAAAGAAATAATGTTTACATACTGTAAGGCCTATAAGGTATTAGTTACTGTTATTACAATCATAATTTGAGTGATTTTCTAAAAAGATAATATAATTGCTCGATGACAATCGTGGCAAGTCCTGCCAGAGAGACAGTTTAGAAAAGTGGTTAAGGACACAATTTAGTAGCATGGACTACACAGCAAAACCCTGTTTCAAAACAAAACAAATAGGATAGCACTGCTTAGGCTCAAGTCAGCCTGCCTGTGTCTAAAACATGAATTCATCATTGGCTAGCATGAGACTCTGAACAAGTTATCTCTCTGCGACTCTTTTAAAAGGGGAAGTAAGCTGGGGATTTAGCTCAGTGGTGCCACCACCTGCCTCGAAAGTACAAGGTCCTGAGTTCCATCCCAGGTACAAAAAAAAAGAGGGAGGAGGGGAGTAAAAAGGATCAAGATGTGATATGTATATATACCAATTCTCCCTATGAATGTATTTACTATATAGGTAAACATATGTGAATAAAAAAAGGGAAAAATTAAAAATAAGCCAGGCGTGGTAGCACATGCCTATATTCTCAACACTTGTAAGGCTGAGGCAGGAAGTTCGCTGCAAGTTCGAGGCCAGCCTGGCCTACATAGTTGAGTTCAAGGCCAGCCTAAACCACATAGTGAGACTCTGTCTCAAAAAAACTAAAAACTAAAAATAAATTTTAATAACAAAAAATAAAAATTAAAGGAATGCTAAAAGCTTATTATTTAAACTCAGGGAGTTGTCATCAGCAGAAAGTAAGACATTGCATGTAAAACGCTTAACACAATGGCTAGAACAGTGATGGCAAAACTTTTAAAGACTGAATACCCACACTGCAACCCAAAACTCACTTGTTTATCACAAAGTGCCAACACCGCAATTAAACCTGCATGCTCAGCTGCTGGGGCAGTGCGGGGCCGACTGGGCTTGCGTGCCGACACAGAGGGCTCTGCGTGCCCTCAACACCAGGTGTGCTACAGGTTCACCACCACTGGCCTTAGAATAGACCAGCCAATACATTCTACAATCAGCTCCCTTTTTTTCCTCCTTCCTAGCACTGTAGGGTACACCATCTAGAACAGTAGTAAAAGACCAGTTACAAATCAAAAGGAGCATGAGGCTGGGTTTAAAGAGAAATATTATCTATTGTACAAAGAGCAGGGAAGATGTGAAAATAAATGATCCAATAGCATCCTCTCTGGCTCCTCCCTCCTACTTCCTTATTCCTTCTGTAAATCTGCTTTTCGACTTCTCCTGCCTTCTTGCCAAGTCTGGAGCCCAGAATCGTAGCTTCAGAGCCACTCTCACACCTGACACACAGAGCCTTGGTTTCCCCTGTTCCGCCTGATTACTTCCTTGCTGCACTCCCAAACTCAGGCCCACACCCAAATCTTCTGCCACAAAAGCTGTTCCAATCTTTAGCCATGGTCTTCAAATCCACATCTCTATCCACATTCCCTCCATCTGAGCAGGTGACCTTGCTTTACATTTGAGCGCGGTCCTCTCCTGTGAACACCCTTACCTCAACGTGGCGCTTCTCTTTGCCAAACTAACGGGCATGGCTCTTGACTCCATTACCTCCCACCCTTCCAGAGCACTCCTGCCTCAGTTCTCCATAGTCTGTCCTCACCATCCACTCCTTCCATAGCTTTCTCCTGACCTTTTTTCTTCCACTGTACTAGAGATTGAACCTGGGCTAGGCAGGCACTCCACCACTGAGCTACATCCCTCCCCAGCCCTTTTGATTTTTAAATTTTGAATTAGGATCTCACTAAGTTGCCCAAGCTGGCCTTGAACTAAGGATCCCCCTGCCTCAGCCTTCCTTACAGGTGTGCACCACCACCCCTTGCTCTCCTGACTGATTTTTAAAGGAAACCTTCCCAAAACTTCTCTCCTAAGCTTCCACCTATCCTTTCTCCTCCATCAATCCATTTTCAAGAATAGTCACTGAACTAACTCCTTTTCCTCACCAATTCCTTGCTCCATGGCTTCTGGGTGTTATCTTCTGAGCCCACTCTTTACGGAGGCTACACACATTAGGGACACAGATGCCACTTCATCACCAAATCTCTGTCATCTTACATCTGTTCTATCAGTTCAAAAAACTTTCTAGAGAGCTCACCGTGTACCACAGCAGGCAATATCCAAATCCCTTGACCACTTCTGTTCCTTGATGCCCTAGGCTCCCTCAGCTCTTGTACCTAGGTTACTCACCTTCCTCTGACAGTTCTTCTCAATACCTCCACAACCCACTAAAGAAAGCATGTCAGGTTTCCATCCCTGGCCCTTTTCGTCTCTCTCTCTCTTTTTTTTTTTGGTACCAGGGATCGAATTCCGGTCCCTGCGCTTGCGCAGCAAGCGGCGAAACCACTGAGCTAAATCCCCGGCCCCCTTTTTGTCTCTCTTTGTAATGCTATTCATTCTCCAGATTTCAAAGCTCACTTCTACAAATGACCCCCAAATCTTTACATACAGTGATCAACATATCCCAAAGCAAACTATCCACCTAAAATTGGGTTCATACTTATTTCTTCCATGTTCCTGCTTGTGGTATTACCATTGTCTTAACTTTCCAGGACTTGAAACTTCAGTTGTCTTAGATGTGCCGCTCTATCCCTGTGCTCCCTTGTTGTGCATCCCAGTAGATTAGGCATGTCAAGCCTTTTCTCTCCTCCCGCTTTGACAAGGCAGGGCCTCCTTCCTGCCTCCCTCACTAATTTAATCTCACAAAGTAATCCTCCTGGTCACACCTCTGATCACACACAGCTCACCTCTACAAATTCAGGACTCTTCATTCTCAGTCTTCAGCTTTCTTTCTGATCTTGTTTCTTTCAGACAAGTTATACATTCAGTGTGCAAATAAAAGGATGCCTTCTAAAAGCACTGAGTAATTACCCCGAGAGAGATGAAAGGGAAATCCTAATGCTCACACAGAACAAACATTCTAGAGAAAAATTTAGACAAATACACCTTCTGTACCTACCACAGCAACAGAATGGTCTGGTTTTGACTCCATCTCCTTCTCAGCGCTTCAGCTGCTATATCCACCATTACTTCATGCTCTTTTTTTCTATCAAGACCAAAGTGCTATTCCACAAATGTGCCAATGCCTTCTGGATGCTGACTTGGTGCACTCAGTCAAGGCTCATAGCAAATGCACCTTCCTTCTTGGTAAAGTTTCTGATTTTCCTGGTCAGATGTGTTGCCTTCTTCCTCTAAATACCTAGAGCCCTTGGCTAGCACTTCTCGAATGCACTTATAGTAGTACTTCAATTCATGAACTTAATTCTTTCCATGACTTGGGTTACAAACCAAATTGAATGAGAATCAAGTCAAATTTCCCCACAAGGTCAACATTCAACCTAACTAAGGAATTTGATTTGGTTCTCATCCAATTTGGTTTGCGACCAGAATAGTAGAAAATTAAGTTTGTAAACTGAGGTACCACCGTATTTTCTGCCTTGAATTAAGTTTTCTGCCTCACCATTAAGTTCAACAGCTATCTATCATGTCCCTCACTACTCATCTGCAAGCTCAAGGTCCTAGGTCAGACTTTCCTCTCAGAATCCCTACACATTGTCTTACACCATTGCTCCATAAATGTTCAACAAATGGAATATTTCCTAAGTGCCTCCTCAGGAATATAACCCCTTAGGACCTCCTCAGGAATACACAATCTGATCTAATGGGCCTCTGATCTGAAAGAGGCTGCAAAAGGAACATGTTACAGAAAGGAACATGTTACCAAAGTGAATATGTTTAAGGTAGAAGAAGTACTCACTCAGCAGGGAGTGAGGGGGACTGAGAAGATCCTAACCAATCTGGGAACAGAGAGCTTACTTCCCAGAGAAGGGGACTTTATGAGAAGAGCTACCAACTCTTCATCTTCTCTCCTCAACCATTAAGTTTCCTAAGACTGCATTCAACTCCCTTGATAATGCTCCCCACTTCCATGTGGGGATAGAATGCCTTGACTGCTGCTCTAATACTCCTTTGTCAATTTCCTCCTTTTTAAAATTTTGTCCTCCTCCCTTTGCCAAACTTCAAAATGATAACAAAAAGTAAAACAGAAACTACTAGAAGAGATCAGAGACTTGTTAAAATGTAGAGGCAGAAGGACAGAGTATTTAATATTTGATAGAATCACCTCTTACCCTCCTCTTGTCTCAGTATAGTCTTACGTTGCCTCATGAACATCTCAGAACATTTTAAACAGACAGATCTCTGAATGTAATGTAGTCATCTTGTAACTTCACAGAAAGAGAAATACAGAGCCAAAGGAGATCATTTGCTAAGATGTGAAAATCCAGACTAACATTATCAATATAAAGTACATAAAGGATGAAATTACTAAATTAGCCTGCCATGGTTGTGCACACTTAGAATCCCAGCTACTCGAGAGTCCAAGGCAGGAAGATTACAAGTTCAAGGCCAGACTGAAAAACTTAATAAGACCCTGTCTCAAAATAAAATGAAAATGGTTGGGGATACAGCCCAGCACTCCCTAGGTTCAATGCCCAGAAACACACACACACACACACACACACACACACACACACACACAAACACACACAGACTTAAGTGAATACCATCCTATGAAACACTACTCAGGTCTACTCAGATGGCATTAACAGTAGAATGGAATCACCTAA